CCACAGTATTATGAAATTTGAGGTTCTCACATCTGTAAAGATATTTATGTTGGTCTTCTGGATTGTGATAAAATGTGGACTTGTAGATACACATTAACACTTCAGAGGAACATACTTCCTCCATCTCCAGGGCTGAAGATGGAGGCTCAAGACTATGAACATGGAGCCAGTAAATTCCTATAAAATGTCTACCTACTAGTTTACATGGTGTTAAACCCCAGAAAAACCAACATCAACATCTAATTATCATTCTGAAATGCCACATACATGACAGTGCAATACTAAACAAAAACAAAATTAAGAAGATACAGAATGCTCCATTTATCCTTTTGTTTTGGATTCTTTCTTCCATTTAAAAAATTAAAAGAATTTTAATACACAAACCAGATGGTCACACAGCTGCAGGATGTTGCAGAAGAAGACCGGAATATTTCAGATTTCTTCTGCATCGAAACAGGCCAGGGGTCTCCACGTTGTTCATCCAATTATAAACTGCTATGGAAGGAATGTTTGCAACACAGTGGACAGGATAAGTTACATTTTTCCACTGCCACTATGGAACACAAAAACTAGACAATCTGTGATAAACCTATATTCCTATTATGAGACATTACTTGGTACAGAAGTCTTATGTTTAAGACAACAAAATTATTTTCTACTGCAAACTTGTCAGTCTAGGCACTTGTCAAGCACTTGTGCACACGTTCACTCAATAGTCACGAATGTCATCATCACTTGCTTCCTCACCAAGCAACACTGGTCCTCTGTGGGAGAGAAGTGTTGAAGAGCTGGACATACGAACCCTGTACCCAAAACATTATTCAGGTAATAATAAGGAAATATTACAATTACATATTTTATATGAATGGACCACATTATGTTCATATTAAGAAATAGTAAAGAAATTTTAAATGCTGGATGTCAAATCCAAGTCTTTTACCATTATGATGATATGAGTTCATATCATAATGGCAAGGAGACACAACTTAATTATGAAAGTTTATGATCATCTGCCATGTCTTCTGAAGTGAGGTTACTTGTAAATATTTTTAGAATTTCAATAAGTACCCACAAAGTTATTACAATTCTCCTTTGTGAATGACCCAAATGTCAAATGTGCATACAGCCATAAGCAGTAAACCTCTCTGTTGTTGTAATTACATACTTGACCCTGCATGTTCAGGTGTCTTTCCCCCACCAGTGATGTGAACATGGCTGATTCACTTACAACTCATAACAAACAAGAACAAACTTTCATGGTCTCAACATTGTGACACTTGATAACATTCACAATAGACTAACTGCAGAGTATGGTGGCATGTTTTGCTACAACAAACTGTGTACAAGTCAACTGAAATGCTACTAAATGGCTAGTCAGTGATGTAAAGCAATCAGTGTGTGCTGTCACATCGATGACTGAAATGAACACCAAGCATGTGCATATAATTCTTGATAATGGGAGGGAGACTACTGATGAAATGGCAAACTCCCTGCAGATTACTCAAATCATCCATGACAGATGTGGAGTATATGTAGTTTCATGTCAAGACAAATTATTTCTCTGAAGGCATAGAAAAGCTTGTGCTGGACCAAGTATGTTGAAAGGCAGGGTAACTTGAAAAATGAAGCATTCGTGAGTTGTGTACTTTAATTTTGTTAATATTAATAACTATACTGCAGATCCTTTTTGACTTACCTACATACATAATATGTGGTACATAATACATAACTGAAATAACTATATCTTCAATGCACAATTCAAAATGATTAAGAACTTAAGTTTTCTCATAATAATATTCCCATGTTTTGCCTGTGTTGTGAAGTTCCAACACCAAAGTTGATAAGAATTGCCAACTTGCTTTATTAATTCCATTCCATGACCATAAAATCTAAAGATGACAAAAGACAGCAGAAAATGGCATGTCCTAATGCAATCAAATGGATGCATATTAGATATAGCAAACTAAATGCTCACATACATACATGCAAATATACAGAAATACAAGATTTCACTAAACCACAGATATTTCTACTCTCCCACATGCAGACATTGGTGCCTAAGTATTTGCACCATAATTGCCTTACGAGCATGTGGACAGTGCAATTGGCAAATCCTATCTTTGTATTTCTCATTTATAACCATACACTAATGATGTACATCAGTGTACTCCAATTGGTGGCCAGCAGGCCACATCCAGCCCAAAGCTACTCGTAATTAGGCACATAACATTATTTTTTAATTTGTTACTACTTACTGCAAGCTCATTTATTTTCTTTACTCTGAAGGATGTAAAAAATGTTGCTGCTATTTAACTCTGAAGTAATTCGTGCACATTTAAATAAAATTTATATTTGAGCATACGACTGGTCATAATTTCTGAATAAAACTTGTAAACAATCACAAAATCTAGCTATTAGGGGGGTTTCTTGGCCCTTGGTTCCAACAGGAAAAACCATTCTCAGCCCATAGGAAGAAAAAAGTTGCACCATCCTGATGTATACACTTAATATGGAATTTTACTTCCTAAAAATTTTACATAATATTCATACAAGCTGATTCACTTTCATATTTATGAAGTCTGCGTAACTTAA